ACAATCATGTACCAAGAATGAGAGAGGATTAAGTCTGTAAAAGATTCCAAGTAAAACAGTTCAGACCAATGCCATTTTATTGTGCACAACTTTTACAACCATTAGTTGTTTCATTCAATTCAATTTACTAAATGTTTATTTCAATACTTGTAACTTGTGGTCAACAAAATTATATAGCAATATTGCATTATACGTTACGTAATGCAAAGAGACCAAAAACCTTGCTAGGGAAAGCCTGAACAATTATTGTATACAGTACATTCACATATATTTGTAACAGAAAAGTATTAAAAATATAACATACAAATATTTTATCATTTTCAAGTGCACCCCCGAAGGACACGACAGACAGCCATATAACCGCCCAAACGGCAGACATCTGATAAATAAGATCTACTTGGCATATGATCGTTTCTGGTACATATCTTTGTCATTTTTGTTCATAAATTCAAACTACCCCACCTCCATCTATTGTCGATTTTATGTTCGTCACTCCCAAAGGGCGTGGGTTTTGATATCATGCATTGTATAGTGGAAAAGCAATATCGAAGTTGACTGCTTTTGTCGATGAGGGCGCTACGTATAGGCCTATTCAAGAACCAGCCCAATTAGCGCGCTCCCACAGGATATTTTTATATCATCGCGCTGTCAATGTAAATTTGTTGATGAAAATGGCTTGTCCATTAAAAAAATCCTTAACAGTTGTCAAGGTGATGTTGACGTCACTGCATCATGAGTTCATCACTGCCGTGCCTGTTGTCGTTTCAGTGCAATTCGAGGCACCGAATTCGACTCGTGATTCCAGCGTTTCTGACCAATCAACTAGCCTTTGATCTGAGACCGATTGACTTCATTTTGTCTATTTAATTAACTAATTCATGGCCAAATGGTAGAGGGTGAAGAAAGAAATAAAATGTCCCTATTATTCCTCAATATCGACAGTATTTTTCCAGGCGAATATCTTTTTTTCTTCTTATTAGACGTACGTACTATTAGTACTTACTGAGGTTGATGTAGATACAGTAACAGAGTGTGCACATGAGGGCGCAATTCATACAGCATTGACAGAGCCAAGGCCGGCCAGGGCAGCATGTTTCGACAGCAATTTATACTTGATACTTGGGACGATTAGGGCCTGAGATGATGCATAATTTCCTTAAGATATTATTTAAATGATCTGTTTGAAGAATTTTTGTACCAAATTTCTTTACGTATCAGGGATGGCTTGATAAATACGGTCGCATCATATATAAATAAAGACAAACTGGATGCCTTACACTGTACAGCACTTCATTTGATCAAGAGTATGTGACATGGACCTTTATCAATCATAATAGCGCCCTCTATCATCAATTTTGACTCCGTCGGAGTGTTGAAATGACGGAATGTTATAATTGGTATCATTAATGGGTGATGGGGTTGAAACCATTTCTCACAACAATTGCTTATAAACGTGTTTTTTTTGGGGGGGGGTGGCAATAAAAAGTTACTTCGCGAAGTTTCAGAACGATGGCGTCATTATACTGCAGGGGCGGCGGAACCGGGTGGTGGGGAGGGGGGCACTTCCCCCTCCCCCCAGATTTTCCCAGGCCAACAAAAGTGCCCCTCTCGCGGTTATATTGTGCCCCCTCGAGATGAAAACAAAACTGCCCCCAAATGTTCACGTTTAGATCGCACTACATATATAATTGTCTCCTCTCTTGTAATGCAAAACTGCCCCTCAAAAAACACAAGTACCCCTCTCGCATTAACAAGATTGTGCACCTTCTCGAGATGGAAAACTACCCCTCTTAAGCACAAATACCCCTCTCTAAATAGTAAAATTGTGCCTCTCTCGAGATGGAAAATTGGCCCCTAACAAATAGTAGCGCTCTTCACGCGAATAAAATTGTCACTGAACTGGCCATCCAAAGCAGCAGTACAGTGCCCCTCTCGCGATACATAACTAGGTTATAGCAAAATGAACGGCGATACATAACTAGGTTATAGCGAAATGAACGGGACCATATTCTTTCCCCCCACTTTCACACCCACGGAAGGTGCCCTTTTTTCTGAGCAAGTGCCCCTTTTTGGTGTACCCCCCCCCCCCCCCCCCCCCCCCAGTTTGAAAGGCGCTCCGCCGCCCCTGTCATACCGGAAGTTATTGTTGGGAGAATGTGGGGGGAAAATGATAAGTTTCTGCGTTTTTTTAAAATTAAAACACTATACCATTTTGGATCATTGTTGCCACAATAATGATGTCAGCAACATTATCGAAGATGGGCATCCTTATTCTGTGACGTCATCAAACCCGAAGGTAGTTGTAATCAATGCTTACACATATGCTTTCGTGCTATTTATTATTTTTCAAGAATTAATTCTTTTCACTTACCTTGCATAATGTAACCTGTCTAAACTAAATCAGTATTCTTTTGCACTTTTTTTAACTGATGACGTCATAAAATCAGAAGTATTTTGTAAATAAAATGAATAATGAAATGTATCTATCCCAAAAGGATGCATTTGCTCGAATTAATAAATAGACTGAACAAGATCAGATTTTATACATTCCCTGTTTTGCATTATTGCAATTGGACAATTCGCGTCCCATCACCCTGCGTTTGTCTCCCCCCCCCCAAAAAAAAATCTAGTTAGAATTAAAACTGAACATGTTGCTATCCAAATGCTTTTTAATCGTTTTCTTTATAGAAGAATTTAGGTAAGTTCTTTTAAGCCGTACAATGCTTTACATTTATGTAATGATTTGACTTATAAAGTTATCTGAGGTAATCCTTATTTACGATGTTTTCCTCTTTTTTATTTTTAGTATACATTAATTAGCGCTTTACAGTTTTCATGATGAAATGTAAAAAATGAATGGGTTGTGGTTTTTTTCCTATATTGGATCTATTTTGTCGTGTTCGCCACGTTATGCACGCACCAGAAACGCGAATTCGATGAATGTCACAGTTAGAGCGCCATCTTGTTTACAAAATCTCATTGAGAGTCTCCACAACACCCAAGGGCAAAACGGCACTTCAAAATACAAAATTATTAAATTGTTACATCAAAGCATTGGAAGGTCATGGCATTCTCCTTGTATCAGTAAGATAGCTGGAGTAAAAATCTGATGCTGTGGCTTTTTTTCTTTCATCAGATCTTCAAGTCCCGTAGGGTAGTTTCTTCTAGTCTTGACAGCACACAAGGGGCATGCACACATTAGCAAATAATGCCTTAAGGAACGACATCTTTAAATCCAACCAGGCGTCGTTTCTGTAAAACGCAGCAAAGACTTTAAGCCGTCCGAGGTGGTCATGCTACGTTATTATAGGATCGTTGTGTCATCCTCTGCTAACACGAACACCGACTCGGAGACCGCCTCTAGGGACATCAGCCTCGACGGGGAAAGACGAGCTTCAGGACCCGCGGACTTATCTGCAGATTTCCGGTCAAGAAAAGCTCGCGTGTTTTGCCGGAGTCTGACTTGCAAGCACACGTCCAATTTACAAATACAACAAATGTTGTACGTCTTCAATTTGCAATTACATTTGGTAGACATTTTCTCACCGTCCGTCAGATCAGATCGCAGGTGGGTGAAGCGTACGTACCAGTGATTATGCAGTTCGATATTAGCCCTTCGCTTCAAAGAGCGGTGAAAAAAAAAACTTCATGAAACATTTAAACCAACAAGAGAGGGGTTATAGAATGATTTCGATGTGGATCAAGTACATTAATAGTGTCCTCTTGAATTTGATGATTTGATCGTGTTCAATACCTATGATTAGTCCGGGTAACTCAATGCTTGTTAATTGGTGTATCAAAATTAAAACATTAATTTCAACATCCTGAATTTCGCTTGAATTCTGCATTATTTTATGTAGAAACTGTATAATATGAAATTATTTTGGGTGTGAAGGAGCCGTTAAACGCATTTCTCTCATTTTAACCCAAGTCGATTAAATTCAAGTCAGTGAAACTGTTTGTACTAGGATTGATAAGCCCTCGATTCCTTAAGCAATATGCTAGCAATTCGTAAGATGGATTTTTTTGCGTCGGGCTGATGTAAATCAAATTAGGTTTTGCCCTTCAATTTTTAATTTGATTAACATCGACGCAAACTTCCATCTTACGAATAGTTAATGCTGTACCCGCTGCTATGTACATCAGATTCGAACCAGCCAACTGATACCGTTAGCTCGGTGGTCGAGTGGTAAGACATCTGAGTGATTTTTTTTCCAACTTTCACTCGGGAGGTAACACACTGAGTATACAGTGTTCATACGTCGGTGAAGGGTAAAACCTAATTTGAATATGCTAGCAATTTCCAGTGAAAGGTTTGGCCAGGTTGTAACAGGGATATTAGATAGGGTTAACAATATCGACACTTGAGAACAATTAAGCGTTCATAAAACAGATTATTTTCCTACGTCATTCTGGTTTATTTCGTCAGATTTACAATGTCGGAAAACAAGTTGTTCAATAGCCGCAGCATTGCTCTCAATGACTTATGCTTTACATTTAATAATAAATGAGACAAAGATGTTTCATGTCCCTTCGTTTATTTTGTAATATATCACCACCGTCGCTGCTATTGCTTCCAAATCGGCATATTTATAAAGCGTACACTGAAAAATTATTCTCCCTTTCTTTATCACTATGCATTGAGAATTGTTACTAATTATGCAGATGTCAAACACTTACTTGTGCTTGATTTATTAAAATTTTCGTCACTTTTTTGTAATTTCAGATAAAGAAATATCGTCCCAAGGGCTTACTTTATTTTCAACCACGTATCCTATAGTAAAGAGCGTACTGCAAGACCCTAGGACTGAGGTTGATTTAAAATTTAATACGTGTTCGGAAGCCAGCGGCAATAGAAATGCAGGAGCGGTCACTACTTAACTCTAATTAAAAATCAGTCAAGTTAGACTTTCAGACGTGAGAAGTCACGGACAGTCTTTGACAACATCAACTGTCCGTTTAATTATACGGTAAAATGATGCATCACTCCAGGGGTAGTGTGTAATTTCATTAGGGATTTCACTAATTTTATTAAGATAGTTCATTGCCATACACCGGGTCGCTAAACAGTGCAAAAAGATATGTCATCTCCAAGCTTAATCACTGATGGCGTAACTCTTACAGTATCGTCTTGACGTCTGGCTAGTGCTACATTCAGTATGGGGAATTGAGCAGCCAGATGACATGTAATAAATATTCCAATCAATATTGGTGGACTAACATTATCATTCAAAAGACGTTCAAATTAAAGGTTATCCCACAATGAGGCTGTACGGATAACCACAAGACTGTCTTTTACCACAGACATTTTTTTTAACTTTAAGATCGTCTTCAGAAGCCGAAAGACTGAGATGGGCGAGTTGATAAAAAAATGGGGTAACTTTTAATACAAATACTCGGCGGAGGGGTTCTGACGTAGCTTGTAGTTACTGATAGACTGGAAGTATACTAAGAGGAAAATCTATACAAAAAAGCAATCTTTTAAAATTGATTTAACGTGTAGAAAGTGTGACCTGGTTACTCAAGAAAGAGGCAAGAATTCCTTTCAAAGCGTGAGATCTGATATTGAATTAGACGTACACAGGATACCTGTCATTTAGGCCAACATCATGACAAAAAGTTTTAAACAGACATTAAACTTGAACAAATGGTACATAGTACATGTACATCCATAATTAGGCTGCCACTGCTACGCCTATTGACAAACATGTAGTACGGCGTATACAGTATAATGGCATCAACAATGATGGTCAATTGAATACAAATATATGTCTTTTATATAAAATGACCTAGCTCTGTTGCCTAGCATTACATTGTGTAAGTGAGATGTCAACCAATGTACATCACTGCACAGAATTTGCTTCAGTAAGTTCAGAAGCAAATCTTCGGTCATTTTGTTTTTTTGGTAGGAATGTTCGATGTTTTAAATAAATATGTTAACAACCGCGTATCTTCTAACCGCGGCAACAAAATATACAGGAGCTTTGAACTGTACATCCATGTGACTTATTCTAACAACGAATTAAAAAAAAATCATCTCATTGAATGATTACATTTTGAATAATTCTTCAGCCAACCATGCAGTCAATTATGAAGTCGGTCTATGCGGCAAGGCTTGTCAAAGGAATGGTGTCAACTGTCTTGTAGGAATTACGTATCTGTCTTGAAGATGTATAGGCCTCATCTTTACTCGTCTTCGAATGCGTAGTAGCCCGGATCTTGGACCACATATTCGCCATTACCAAGCATCCTTTTACGGAAGAGGGTGCCGCCGAAATGGTAGTCGTGTTGCTCGGGTCTCCTGTTGAGCGAGCTCAGTGGGCGCCTTTTCCGCTGCGTTTCCGGATCGATCTCCCTGTCAAGGTTGTACTGTTGTCTGAGACCGTCTAGTCTTGATGCGTGGACTTGTTGACTGACTAGACACCAACAACACAACATGAGCAGCACGAGCATGGCCTTGGCTTCCATTATACTCTGAAACAAATGTTATTATACAAGATATCATGTCAAAGTTACGATAATACAATGTAGAGCGTGTATCTACAAAATGGTGAGCCAAAATACGAAGGTGATGAAATTTAACAATAGGGAGGTTTCGCAAGCGAACGGATACGCTTACACTTACGTTTAGCTATCCGTATCCGTTTTTTACTTACGTGTAGCGAGCGAGATATGCGTGTCGTCTGCACGTATGACGTCATACGCCACTCACTATCCGCTAAACGTGCAGACGACACGCATATCTCGCTCGCTACACGTAATTAAAAAACGGATACGTATAGCTAAAAGTGTAAGCGTATCCGTTCTCTTGCGAAACCTCCCTAATGTCAAAGTGGCTCCATCTGAAAGAATAATTGATTAGCATGGGCGCTGAAAGAATAATTGATTAGCATGGGCGTCGCCAGGATGGGCCGGGGCGCTTGCCCCCCCCCCCCCCCCCGGAAAAGCCACAAAAAAGCAGAAAAAAAAGAAGAAGTCGAAAAAAAGAACTCATATTGCTGTTAATTTAAAACCCTAACTCCCTAGCACGATTTAGGAACCATATCTATCCTGGCAAATTCCAACACCATATATGAAACTGCACACACATATTCCTGACTTTGATTCTGGAAGTGTGCCAACCCAATGTAAAAGACTGTCAGTTTAGGGGTACTGTACCCATCCTGACAGATTCCAACAAAACATGCCGTTGGGGTTTGATGGGTTGAGTTCTGTTAGCAACTTTTAATTAATTGAGATTTGTAGGTTTGCATGGTGAACATGAACAAAGAATGGAAGGTTGTCGGTAAAACCGTGTAAACAATATTTCTATGTGCTCTGTTCGTCATCAGGAGACTGGTTAATTACATCATACCTAATGCTAATCCCTTTTTCAGTTACAAAAAAAATTAGTAATCGAATTTAAATGAATCATATTATTAAGATTTGTTTTCTCTTAAATAAATCACTTCCGAATATTACAACTGCAACAGACATACAGATATTGCACAGGGCTAAACTGTCATACAATACAAAAAGAGACAAAAATCTTCGCTGATGTAAAAACAAAATAAATTGAATTACGACTCTTTCAATTCTGAATAAACACCGAGTTATCTTTTTGCAGCATATAAAACACTGTAAACAATTTATCTTATCCCAAATAAAGTGTAGAATCTAGAGTAATTTGTTTTGGTGATTCTACACACTGATGTTGCGTGAGATGTAAATATTTGTAAAAGATTGTTTAGCTGGTCCAGGAAAAGTCCAATCAAAAACAAATAAATCGGAATTGCACAGATAGGGAACGCATGCACCAGTTAATAATCATGAATATCAGTAAATCTTACATTTCGTGGAAATGTCACCCCGCAGTACAGTCCTGTGGTCCCTTTATGAAGTTACAGCTCTCCTGTCAGTACAATAAACGATAACAACTAACAAAAGTGAATTATTTGTAACCAAGACGAAGATGCAAACTAACTTACGAAGGTACTGGCTCATTTCCAGAGAGTGAAAATTTACACTCTGGACAAGAACATTTAAAGTTACTTTCGCTACAGCGACTAGATTGAGATTTTACTCGAACCTTAACTGAAGTGATTCTTTTGAAAGTTTATTTCAATCTTTGTTTCACTCTTTAGAAAATAAGAGAACACTTTTTGCACCCCTAGCGGTTGCCATCGTTACTTTTCAGTTCATCGGATAGGTTGAGGTGTGTGTGGGGGGGGGGGGGGGCGGAGGTTAACCTCTATGAAGCTACAGAGGTGGGTTGGGAGGGGGTCGAACAACCAACCCAATTTTGATATGGAGCGATTTCAATATTTAATCATTTTGGTTTTTAAAGTTTGGAGTGTTCCATCGAAAATGGATTATTTCTTTCACCTGCTATTTTCCAAGCAATTTGAAAGTTATTCACTCTTAGTGATTGAGACATCGAAAAAATAACATCTACCGACATTTGGTTGTTGAATTATTTCTTTAAACAATTTGAGCTATTTGCAGCCCGATAATAATTCGGCTCTTGTAAATAGGCGGTCCTTTTCAGAGGGTTTCAGACGCCCAAAATCGAAAAAAAAAAAAATATACAAATCAAAATTTCGTAAGAAGAACAAAATCCATAATTGAAGAGTATTCAACTTTAAATAAGTGTAAAAGAATTTCTTCCATGATTTGATATCGTTTGTCCTAATAGAACTTGTACCTCACATTTCCAAATTTCTTAGATTTGTTCCATTTTGTTAGTAAAAAAAAACGCACACCGCACACTATAGACGTTATATCCAAACTTATGGACGTTGCTGAGTACCACCGTAGAAGAAGTAGAAATAGGCTGGCTACGAACCCGGACCATAGAAATTATCACCATCTTTTTCTTAAACCGTATGCTGCCGTTAATTATTAAACATTTCCTTCCCCAGCTAGTACTTGTACATTTTTGATCTCATCCATTTGGGAAAATGTGACAAAATAAAGCTATATAGATGCTTTCCATTTCAAATATTAATTTGTCAACACTCTGCAACATGAGCTGCTCAACTATAGCAAACAAACATTACTGTTGATTATTAGTTAACATTATTGCAATGATGATGAATCACAGGTATCCGGCTGTTATACGTTGGTCAAAGAATTCCACACATTATACACAGCAATCATCATGATTGAGTAGGGAAATGTTTCATTAGTGCCGTAGTCATCAATAGGATAGCATTCCTAGAAGTTTCTTTCGGAGGCTTATATACGTCTATTGATGATGGATTGGTCGAATTAAGCTGAATAAATAATGAGCTGTTTCTTTCAACAAATTTGCGTTTAATAATTGAACATCTTAACGTAAACCAACGAGTCACACATCCCTGACTGCATAATTGCGGAAGTGCAGCACAATTAAGTAGAGTAAAAGGTTTGGGGTGATTTAAGGGAGGCTTATACCAAATTTGTGACTGTATTATGCTTCCGACCTCAAACAGCAGTTCGTCATGATGACGGAGTGGGGTTTACTAAAGCGTTGTTAAAGCAACTGAAATGGTCAGGCTTGATTAGCACAAGGCTGTAATTATAGTAATCGTTCATTGCCACAAGGTTTGTATGCTTCTGGATGCTGGTATATATTTGCCGCTGACAAATTATCAGAAAGACTAGCGTCTAATCGGAACTTTGATAACTAAACTTACTTCAATCAGTTTTTGATGGTTACTGAGGCTCCTCCAAAACGAAATCCGGAAAAAAATAATTCTGAAATGAGAAAATATTAAAACACTGGTGAATGAAAGAAAGAAAGAAAGAAAGAACTATTGATCATATTTTAAGACATCATAAACTCTCGAACTGATGTGATAAATCATGCTTAAAAATGCTTCACGGAGTTGACGTACCGCCATTATTTTTTATGACATTTTAAAGCTTGGAATCTTATCTGTATCCCTGGTAAGTATATTGGTTTGATTTTCAAAAGTGTTTTGAAATAATTTATGTTCAAATAAAGGCATGTCAAGAACAAACTCAACCAATTTTAAGACAAATCAATCATGCTCATTTTTTCTAATGTTGAAATGGTTCATCATGTTCATGATGTGACGATATCGTTGCCTTTTACTTCATGTTTTCCTATTCGTTTCGATCCACGTAGACTACATCTTAAACGGATTCACAATATTGTTCTTATTTTCAAGTTCAATTTTGTATCCACGTGCAAGTATGTACCTATTGAAAAAGCGCGCTCAAAGTGTGACTCGTGTTTGCATCGGATGTACCGCATTATCGAGTTTCTTGAAATCGGTTGAGTTTGTTTTCGACATGCCTTTATTTGAACACGAATAATTTAATACTCTTTTAAATATCAAACCAATACTTGCCATGTAGGGATAAAGTTAAGATTCCAAGCTTTATAACAATAAAGGCGGTATGTGTTTCCGTGCGAGTCTACTATAGACAGTCTACAGTCTACTATAGGGTTTCCTGAACTATCTGCTTCTTGATTTATTACAAGTTCCTCCACCCCATGAATCCTTAATTGGGAAGTAACGAAAGATCTTGTATTATGACATTTTCTACGCGTGTATAGGCACGTGTGAGTGATATGGGTGATTTGAACCATTCTTCACGTTGCTGCTCATCTGCACAATAAATAAATGATTTTGCCCAAAAGCCAGATTAATATGGCGCCGGTGGAAAGCGGGCTTCCGATAGAATTCATTAAAACGATTGGGACTTTCCTTTGCATTTGGTTCAGGTGTTTACGTTAACTGGAAATTGCGGTTTGGTAAGGGAGGGCCTTGTGTAAACATGGCAAAGTCGGAGGAACAGACGAAGGACGAGAAAATATCTGGCACTTTTTTTTCAACTGTTTGAGATTTTAATCCCCAAATTATCATTAAACGAGACTGTACTATATCAAAGGAAATGCCGACTATATTGAGATTTCTTGCGTGACGACTTTAATACAAACATTATATTTTGCAGTTGAAGTCAAGAAATGTCCTCAAAGTTAACAGGTAGCCTATGCCACTTTATATTCTAGTCGTTCTAGTGTTTGAACAGCTGCAACAAAGAAATTTCGGCTTGCCCCAAAAGCTTCGACTTTTTAAAATATCATGCTTTCATCTTAATAGACCAACTTTTTGTTCTCATGATGCTTTTACTTTGCTTTTGATGGAACTATATGATATTGAAATTTAACAATTTTCAAAATGATGAAGTTTATGATGATTAATAAAATTAAGTGAAGTTTTGCGTGGCTCATTATGATCGCTATTTTTTTTATAAAAAAGAAAGATATAAACAAAATCAAACTCTACAATCACAAAAACTCATTTAAAATTTCGGAGAAAATGACATTTCTTTCAGTGAAACGCGGTTATCAGTCATGGAGGCCAGACAAGTTTTATAAAAGTTTCCAGAGAATCCAGTTGATTATTTATTACATCTTCATGTTTTTTTCTTACCACCTTTGGTACAGAAACCGCCAAAGCAACCGACATATTGCTTAAATCAGTCCGGTAACCCAGCCAGCACGCTTCGTCAAACCAACCAGGCAATTAGCGACGCGTATACCCTACCCCGTCCGCTCAAACGCTCATCGTTAAAAGGGGTTGCACTCCGGAAACTTTGAAGTGGTGATCCGATGACGTACTTGACCAAATCAGGTGAAATTCAGCGAATCCTATATAGCGAAGACCGCTGACAGTTCGCCATGTCATTTGATAGCCGTGATACATCCACTAGACATCGGGCCAGATTGGATCCCGTGTCCACGACTCAGGAAGTTTTCTCCTTGCCACAACTCCTGAATCAATTAAAAATGCGACTGGAAAGAGACTGACCCCTCTTGGCCTTCTTGAAGAGTAATTAACGTTCGTGGGGAGTCCGACGTAAATGGGGATGTTTGCCTCTCGCTTTGAATTCGCTAGTTACGATACTTCAGTTGTTTTGATCCATTTCTGTCCTTTCCACGCTTAAAATGTAACCATAGTAATGAAGAGAGCAAAAAACAGCCATTCGAAACCGATTTCATTCTGACGTAATATTGTTATATGTTTTGAACAGGTTGTAGTTAACGAATTTACGCTGGCATGTGAAATACACTGAAAAACAATCACAGCTGTATTGATGTTTTGCGTTCAGAGTTGACTAGAACTCAGTTCCCTTTCTCCACTATTGAATTACTGAAATTGTAGGTCAATTACCAAGGAACGTATCCCACAACGGGAGCTTCTTATCATATTGACTAATTCTGAAAAAGGACAGTCCCCCGTCAAATGTTGTAATCGACCTTTGATGTCTCCGTAATTGAATAGACCTTTTATCCTTGATTTCACCTTGTCAAACGCGTCGGGTATACCGGTCATCTTCCATCGCGTGTGTGAACTTTCTCCGTGGACAAGGTTGAATTTGGACGCAGCGTGTCAAAATGGAACGTGACGAGAATCAACATCTAACATTCATGTGTTGATAACATGGACCGTATTCTGAAAGCGGCTGCGTGTAGACGCACTTCTTCAAGTATTCCAATTCGGAATGTGCAATCAATTCTCACTCAGAACTGACTGAGACTAGAGTGTTTTATTGGGTTAGTTCTTTTGTTAACAGACCCATCCCCCCTTTTAATGATTGATACAGCGCCAGGCGAATTACATAGCTTGAATATTCCAAATTGAACTGCAAACCAGTATTTCGACCGTATGTGTTTGTACCTATTCCAAATCACGAGTGCCTTATAAACACTGATTTTTAAGCTCTGACAGAAGCTTCTATAAGTCACTTGGATGTCGATCGGTCGGTCGGTCCCCGAAAATTGACCAAAAATATTTTACCAAAATTGAGCAAATGCCATGCCGTCGTCAGTGCACTCTAAAAATTGTTTGTAACAATTCGTAAAGCTGTTGATCAATTTTTTTGTAAACGGAGGCAAGATATGTGCAGTAAGGTTTTTATAGTCATGTGGTATTTTCTGTAGTGGATGGACGGTATCCAGAAATGAAATAAAAATTGACCAAAATAAAGTGTTCCATATGTGCCATCGGCGTCGCATTTTTCGCCAGAGCTTAATGTGCACTCGCACTTGTTTTTTGTTTTCCCTACATTTCGACGTTTGGCAGGCCATCTGTGAGTGTTTCGTAAATGAATTTGTTTTATTGCGTTGTAGAAACCTACAGAGCATTGTGTGTCGAGAAATACTCGGCACACACTTCACCCTCGGTTTTGTGCACACACTGCACCCTCGATTTTGTGGAAAGTGAGTTTTTTTCAGGGTTGCTTCAGCTGTTTCTGCGAGCCTGCTGATCAAATTGAGTGTTATTAGATCACTTGGCCTTCCGACTGGTTGTCAGTAAAACAAGAGTACGGAGTACAAGTACCAATGTCAGGCACACCGATTGCCTGGGCCCAATTATCTTTGGGCCGTGGTCCAGACAAACATTTTAAACGTGAACATCATTGTCCTTCCTAGCAATTTCAACAAGTTTATAAAAAAAAATTAATCAGCGCGGAACTGCATCATCAACTGAGGGAACACTTCTGCGATATTCTACTTCTCTATGGGAAACATACATAATTCTTTTTTAACTGGATAATACTGTTAAGGAAATTTTTTTTAAACATTGAGGTAGTTCGTATAGCAAATCCTACAAGCTTTTAAGAGTACACACTATACGTGGTTTATTAGTAGGTTTGAAAATAAAATTGCAAAGACGGTTTTTGTGTAATTGGAGACTCCACAGAACCGTGGTAGTCACGCTAAATCTGTTAAATTAGAGCATCATCAATCAGTGCGACATATGGGTCGAGACAGGAGTTTGACAAATTTAGCTAATCGCAGTCCAGCATATTATATCCTTATCCGCGGAAAACAAGCGTAACTGTTTATTTTTACACGCGAAAAGGGTCAATATTAATTCTTCGTTTATAGTGTAGATTTATAGCCATGTCGAAGCTGTTTCATCTTTCGGCGTGTCCTTAAGTGTTCCCGTCAATCCTATGCCTCATATGCCAGTCGTCCGTTATGCATAATTACCTTCTCGTGTCACAAATGACGGGATATTTTTGTAAGATAACAGATCGAGAAGCAGACCACGTATGAACTAATTCATGATTTTTAACACATAGCCTGAGGTATAGCAGATGTTATCTGCACATTACCCTACGAGCAAAATCATATCGCGTATCAAATCATATCACTTCGCTACATTGCATTAGAAATCAAGACTTATTACCAAGCTTCGGCAAAACTGTAGTTAGTCACAGAAAAAGATGGCAAATTGTAGAATTTCATAGCAATATCCATTTCCTTTTCACAAATTGTATTGCGAAAACTAGTCGAGATTTTATAGTATTTAGATCCAGGCAGTTGCGTCTTCCAACGATAATAGGCCTAACGTTTACGTGAAACTGCCCTTTTTGTTGTATACAAACAAGAATGATATTTTCAAAATATGAAATGACTACGATCCTACGATTGCTAGTGGTTCCGTCCTATTTCAATATATTACAGTTATGCAAAAGTAGCACATTCAATCTAGCTAAGTGGTCAGCACAGTTTGTTCATGCCTAACCCTACAGCAGAAATAAAGCATGGACTATTGTACAACAGTGGGATGCTTTGCTTCATTCTCAGTGATTTAGTCGGACCATTGCTACATCCTCTCCGTTTAAATAGAAATAATAGGATCTGCTAATAAAATGTCCAAAGAAAATTTCACTTAGAGCGATCTTTTGATAACTCCATATTTTCTAAAATAGT